AAGACTTTTTGGAGGGATATATGTGTGTGGGCGTGGCACAGCGGCATTGGCAGTGGGCTTATTGCCCGAAAGGCGAAACCCAAAGCCCCGAAAATGTATGGCCGAGACGGGGAGCGATATGAATAACTTATAGCTGATCCTGTGAAGTTGAGTGAGCAATCAAAGCAGCGGGCGAGCAATGAAGGGTTCTGCCTTTCGCCCGAATAACTTGAAAATCGGCGTATCAGTGCTGAATCCGAAATCACTTTCAGGCCCTCAACAAATAAGCCATTTTCCGGTGCAGCCAACAAAGTGCAATTTCAATTTGGCCTATGCCAAGACTCAGTCAGTAAGAGCCCCTATGCAGATTCTGGGAAAAGTGATAAGACAAATCGATGGGCTGGACCATGGGCGAAAGTGTAGTGACTGTGGGATACCAACTACCAAACGGCATTCCCTACATTTATTGGTTTTTAGGTAATATACTTTTAAAATCACAATTACAAGAAATGGGATAAACGCTTAAGCTACTAACAACATCCAATCTGCAAAAAAAAAAAACAAAGAACCAACTTTTAGCAATACCATCTGCTGCCATTCTTATCTTTCAAATTGTCGAAGTTTAAAACGCCATGTCCCATCCCCACATCCTTATCCATGGGCCAGCATTATGCCACACTTTGCCGAGAGAATACCGAACGACCGTTTTTGTTTCCTTGCAGGGCCTGCTGACCCCTGACCCCGCACTGGACATGGTTTACCCCAGTGACACGTCGGATACTAACAACGAGGAGCTGGCACTCGAGAGCAATGTTGCACATGGCAATAGCCACGGCCATGGCAATGGGAACTCGACTGGGACAACGGCCACTGTCAACGGGGACAACAAACTCAATCAGCGCCAATACGAGCCACACGAGCGCTTCATTATCACCAAAAACGTGGTCGTTATAGGCCTGGCCTTCATGATTCATTTCACGGCCTTTCACGGCACATCGAATCTGCAGAGTTCGGTTAACGCGGACAAAGCCCTCGGAACCACCACTCTGGCAGTCATCTATGGGTCGCTTATACTGTCCAACATATTCCTTCCCATGACCGTGATTAGGTGAGTGAAATAGTTTCGCACTTGGGTTTCGGTGATACTTCGGATCCAGTTTAGGGTTTAGAAATTACTCCAGATTAAAGTGGTAACATTTTTTAGTTATTTTTCCCCTTTTATGTTTTATAATAAAAGTATTATGTTTAGTAATAGTGGTGCATCTTTATCATTGTGATGGGATGAAAAAAAATTCTAAATAAGGCAATCACAACATTTGCTTTCTAAATTGCTGCATTGAATTGGTAACAGATCTTTATAGCTCTAATCGAAAAACGAAGATACTTTTTAAGTATTTTATACTCAATGCAATTATACATTGCATTCATTTTAATATTTTGCGGTTTTTAATTATTTTAATTCAAAATTGGTTTTCAATATTAAATTTGAATACTTTTAGAATAGATTTGAATATTTTAAACATTTAATTTATTTAAAAAAAAAATTTTAAAATCAAATATTTTTTACAAAAGTTGAAATTTTAAATCACGCAAATTATCATTTTGATAATGCATGTTATCAATTTATATTTCATTTTGATTTATATTTTTGTTACTTCATTTTTTATAAGTGCAATGCATTATCGTAGATGTTATTGGCAAACCAACTTTTTAAAATATATTTATATAGTAGTTTTGGCATCCTTGCTGTCTACAACTAAGTTAGTAAACTCAGTTAAAAATAGATGTCATAAATTAAGATAAGAAAGAGAATAAATAAGTTCTGTCAATTGAACACTGAATTGCAAGCAATGCTGAAATTCTGGCTGTGTGCCCATAGAAAAGCCCAAAGTTAGTACTCAAGCAAGTTGCACAAGATAGATGGTTTAAAGAACAATCAAAACAACACTCAAATATAGCCTCTTAGCATAATTGCCAATTTTTGTTCGGCGTTTCTTTTGTCTCGCGAGAGGATGAATCCCACTTCGCGACGTGTGGCATGCCATAAAAGTTTCGTTGATTGTCGGGCGGCGTTTTTATGGGTATTTTATGCAGATGTGACAACGACGAAAGCGCAGTCAGCAGACGCCCCCGAAAACGTGTGACTCCGAGCGCATTTGGCTGTAAAAATGTCAACAGGAAGTCCTTGGATTAGCACAGGACCCTGCCATTGTCCTCTCCGATATCCCTATTTTCGAATGTATCCCCTTTGGGGGGTCACCAGGCACCCTCGTCTGACATTTAAACAAATCGCTAATTTATAGCGAGCCTCGCTTCACTTGGCTTATTCGGAGCACGAACTGCTGGCTCAGGCAACTTTAATCAGTTAACTCGATTTATTTAGATTTATGGCCTTGGGCCCGAAATAAATGACCGCCTGCTAAGCATGTGCCACTTGCCACTTGCCACCTATGCCAACACCCCCGATTCCTCATTGTGTTTTACCTCATCAACAGTTGGTTCGGCTGCCGATTGACCATGGCGTTGGCCCTGTTCGCCTACATGCCCTACATAGCCGCCCAGTTCTTCCCGAGGTTCGAGACCCTCATTCCGGCCGCCCTGATGGTGGGCTTCGGCGGCGGCCCGCTGTGGTGCTCCAAGTGCACCTACCTCTCCACCGTCTCGGAGGCACTCACCCAGGTGCGGGGCAACAAGTCGCGCAAGGATGTGAACACCGTCCGGTTCTTCGGACTTTTCTTCATCTTCTACCAGATGGCCCAGGTGTGGGGCAACCTGATCTCCTCCTCGGTTCTGACCCTGAGTGCTCCGGTCACGCAATCGCCGGCCAATGAGAGCTCAGCCCTGGAACTGCAGCGCGAGCTGGAGAGGAGCAGGGTGGCCGAGCTGTGCGGTGCTCGCTTCTGTCCGGGCGTCGGTGCCGAGGCCAATCCCAACCTGGTGCCCCCAGCTCCCGAGCAAATCCAGCTGCTCAACTCCATCTTCCTCGCCTGCATGGCAGCCGCCGTGGTCATGATGGTGTTCGGCGTCAGCTCCCTCAAGCGGTAAGTACTGTTTATTCTCACTAATTTGCTTTTGATTTTCTATACACTTTCGGGACCACATTTTTTCTGTAGCCTGACTTTTTTTTGTATTTATTTTTATTAATGGTTATAACTTAATTCTTGTTTAATTCTTGCAATAGCTGCAAGGGTATATGAACTTCGGCTTGCCGAAGTTTGCTTTCTTTCTCGTGTTTATATATTTTTCCGATTGTTCCTATGGGAGCTATATGCTAACGTCGCCCGATCCGGCTCATTCCGACTTATTTACTACCTGCAATAGAAACACAACTTTTGGGAAATTTTTGGCGATTTTTCAAATTATTTTTCAAAATTATTTCTAAAGAGTATTTTTGTTGTAACTTTGCCAAGTCAAAAGAGTTTCTATTTTGAACAGCCGAAGTTTGCTTTCTTTTTTGTTTTTACAAGTACTTAATCTTTATTTTTCACCTTAATTGTTGTAAAACAATTAATTAAACATTTTTTTCATTTTTGAAGTTTTTTCCTAATAAATTCTCCAAATGATCTTCAGAATAAAGCCTTTGTTAGACAAATGTTAGCATAATCTTGAATAAACTTATTTTCTCAAAATATAAAATATACAATAATTATATATGTAAAATTTTATCAAAAACATAGTCTAAAATCAATTGCTAATATTTTGAATTATTGTTTTGTTTATTCAGTATATTCTTGCAGATATTTCCCATTATTTTCTTAAACTAAAATTAATGACAATATAAAGATTTTATTTATTTTGAGCAAATGTATTTTATAATAATCAATTGTGTAAAGTCCAAATTTTACTTTTGTTCTTAAATTCAATTGTTTTATTCATTGTTTTATTCAATTCATTGTTTTATTTGAGTTCTAACAGTTTACTTGTGTCTTTCCTATCTACAGCTATGGGGTCAAGCGCGGCGATACTGGCGATGGAATGTCCGGCTTGAAGCTCCTCACGGTGACCATCAACCTTCTGCGCAAGCGTCGCCAGATCCTAATGCTGCCCATCACGATGTTCATCGGTCTGGAGGAGGCCTTTCTGGCCGTGGACTTCACCCGTTCGTTTGTGGCCTGCGGATGGGGAATCTCGCGGATTGGGTTCGCCATGATCTGCTTTGGAGTGGCAAACGCGGTGGCCGCCGGGATCGCAGGTGCGCTGGTGGAGCGCATCGGGCGAGTCACACTGGCCGGACTGTGTGCGGTACTCAATCTCTGCCTGCTCACCTACATGTACACCTGGGAGGCCCGCGAGGGTGACTACCTCAGCTACTGCGCCTTTGCGGCCATTTGGGGCATCTGCGATGGAGTCTGGCTGGTGGTGGTCAATGGTTGGTGCATCCACTAAACCCAAGGTTTAAGCTTGGCTCTAAGTTTTGGTCACTAACTTATATTTACTTGCAGCTTTTTATGGCATTCTGTTTCCGAACCACCTGATTGCCGCTTATAGCAACTTTCGGCTGTGGGAAAGCACTGGTTCCGTTATCGGCTACGTCATCAGTTCGCAGCTTTGCACCTCCACCAAATTGGGGATTTTAATGGGCGTCATGTTGGTGGGCTGTGTTGGGTGAGTTTCTGTTTTAAATTTCAAGATTAGTAACCAAAATACGCTGATTTTCTTCAACAGGTATGGCCTCATCGAGTACCGCGTTTGGCAGAAGCAAAAAAACTTGGAGGTCATGCTAAGTGACTGATATTGTTTATCAAAGCCATTTTCTTGCCATTTACATTTTCAACTCTGTTTCCAAAAGCCATTTAATCTGATTGGTGACTAAATTATACTACACTCAAGAACTTAAAATACTACAAAGGTAAAGCATTTACCTTCAAAATCAATTCACTAAGCTAAATCCTTTTCAAGAAACAGATGTCTTTTGTGATATAGTCAAATAGTTGTAAGGTACGGTTGTGTTAAGAAACATTCGTTACTAAATAAAACCAAGATTGTTTTAATTTTTTAAATAGTATTTTTTTATTACAATCATTTAAATATTTGTTCAGTTGCAGCTGTTTTCTTGCTATGTACCATTTAAATTTCGTAGTTGAAATATTTTTTCGTTTCTTTTCAATCATAATTTGTTAAATTGCTACATAATGTTGCTTATTCTAAACACTTGCTGTCTTTATAGCTTGCTTTTGTTCGTTTTGAGTGCTACCATATAGAATTTTCTTAGTTTTCGAGTCTGAACTGGCTAACTGCTAGGGTTATAATTTGTTTTATAAATTTTTGAAATCAGATTCATTTCGGTATACAATTTTAGCCAACGCATTAAATGCAAATATTTTTACTCATCGCTTACGAGCTCTACAGAATTCCTTAGACTGTGTGGGTCGTACATAGATTTTATGCAGTTTTGGTTTAAATGGTTTTAAACATTTAGTATGTAATTTGTTACGTGGTTTTCTTCTTTTTATTTTGGAATGGCACATCAATGTGATAAAATTTGGCCTAAAACTGCACAAGTCTGCCTTGGGGACTTTAGACTACTTTTAGGCTATTTGGGATATGATAAGTGTTAAGTAGTTTTACTTAGATGGCTAGATATTCAATTGGATTGGGTTCTTGGGTTTCGGGTTGTTGTGGTTCGCTTGCGTAATCCGATGTCATTTGTAAATGCTATGACACACAGTATTACTTTACATGGCCTAACTGCTAAACTCTAGGGTGTTGTACAACTATCACACTGTAATACACACTCTCACTCACACGCACACGCACACGCACACGGATATCAACACACTCTCACTTAGACACCTAGCTATATACACGGGCCAGCTATTTACAAGGGCCCCTGGCCCTATACCATGCCCTTGGACATCATGCGCACTGTGTTCTTGAGCGCCTGCCGCTTGTTGCAGAACCAGATCCGGATCACTTCGCGTTCGTAGCCGAGTTGATGGGCCAGTCCGGTGATTTCGGTGCCTGTTATATGGGGGGGAAAGTATGATTAATAGGTGTTCCATTGCCCTTAACTTCTTGTAACTGAAAGTTACCACTCACCCGAAGGATGCGTATTCCGCTCGAAGTGCGCATTCAGCAGCTCAAGAGCCTGCGGCGTGAAGGATGTACGCCGTTTCCTTTTCTTCGATGGTTCCACGCCAATGTAGTCGGTGAGATGATTCTGGCCCGATTTGTAGCGGTTCCAGTGGCTATATGGGGGGATGAGAGAAACGCAAGTTAGTCGACCTTATTGCGATTTGGCGCCCAACCAGGGGCGAAAACGGCGCGTGGAACTGCCTCCATACTCTCACCTCTCTTCGGCCTCCTTCATCCAGCGCTCCAGCACAGGTTTGATCTTCTGTGCGCTCTTTGGTGTGATGTCCAGCTTCTCGAACCTGCGGTTTTGGGTGGGTTATGGTATGGAATTAGATCGTTGATCTCTGGAGCTCGATGGGCTTGTGCAAGCCCGATTAAACGCAAAAGAAACGTAACTAAAGTGCCAGGACATTGTCAATTAGCATTCTCTTTCGGTACGGGTACGCTCCTCCTCAATCGTTCAATAGAGACATATTTCGGTTCATTTCGTTTCTGTTGAGCTGCTCTGAAGCTCATTGGCAATGCCCTGGGCCAATTTTTGGAAGCGCATTTATGCAAATTAAACGTGAAACAAAAGAAATACATGGCGAAATGAACAGGTTTAATGAGCCTTGCACTTTAGTTAGGTTTCTCTTGGATTGCACACACACACACACACCACACACACCACACACAGCACACACACACACCCTTAAGGAGGCAAACATACATGTTCTGCTGCTGCGTCGATAGTTGAGCGGCGTACATCTGAGCAGCGAGTGCACTGCTTGCATTCGATAGTTGGCATTCGACATTCGATAGTAGGCATTTGTTATTCGATAGTTGGTATTCGATATTCGGTATTCAGTATTCAGTATTCAGTTTGCGGTGGGTGGCATTCGACATTCGATGTTGAGAGAGAGAGAGTTAGATAGAGTTGGCGTTTGAATCGAAAAAATAAACAAATAAAATAAATAAAATTAATTTAGCATTTAATTGGTTTGTTGTCTGTTTTTCGTGGTAAATTTAGCATTTTTTTTTAGATTTGCTAGAAAATGTCCTGGCACTCTTCGAAAATTGGTTCCAGAAGTTTACGAAAAACAAATGAGGGAAACATAAATATGTGGACTTAAGCAAAAAATATTGTTGAGAAAAATATAATGAAACACGATTTGCTGAAGGGGAAAGGCAGCCGAAATGGTTATCTTTTTTTCGCTTCTTTTAATGCTTGACATTTTTGTACAAAAAAAGGGCAAAGTTTTTTAACTCGAAATAGTTTTTAGACCTACAAAGATTTTCGGCCATTAAGTTTGGATATTAAATCAAATTTCTTTTAAAGATCAGATTGTCATTCAACGTTTTGAAGTAACTACTGTTTAAGGTTCGAGTTAAAGTAAAGCTAATGTTTTGTAAACTAGTTTATTACCCTTGTAATTTAGGACTTAATTACTAGACTAGCATAGCTCGTCCATGCATATCTCACCTGCAGATGGCACTCTGGCTGTAGGCGGGTCCCTCGGTCACCGACAGGGCCTGGCCCACCTGGGTTTGGGTGAGGCCCAGCGACAGGCGCCTCAGCTTGAAGGCCTTGGCGAACTCCTTGATCTCGTCCAGGTCGATGCCGTCCACCACATTGGTGGTGGCCTGGTTGATGGTGGGTTCATCTAATCGGCGAGAGATGGAAAACAGGTCCGGTTAGTGGAAAATCCCGTCACTGACAGCTCTAACTACATTAAGTCTAACTAATTAAGGGAATATTAGCCTAGCTATCCGCCGTAATTGCTGCCCTGTCGTGGTCTTAATTACAGCTAATTGCGGTAATGGCAAAACATTATTGCAGTGCCGTCATTTTAGTATAGGTAAATTGATAAAGCACACGGTGAAGACACCTGCCAGGTGGTTCTTGTCTATTAGGCAAGTGCGAAACTCACGGCTTTTATCTGCCTAATTTGTTGGCAGGACGGAAGCCGTTCGGATGCAAACTACTCGCGTTGAATTTTGATTTATTTATTAATGATATGCAAGAAGGGAAAGACAAGGGATCCGATGCACCGGCAATGGCAACAGCAATGGCAACAGCAATGGCAACAGCAACGGCAACTTCAACGGCAACTTCAACGGCAGCCTTGTGTTTTAGCGGTAATTAAGATGCGAGAATGCGAGGGATTGGCGGTGTTTTGTCGAAGGATGGGGGGCATGGCAAAGGATCCACTGGCAGCATCCTTTGCGGGCCGTAACTCAAGCTGTCGTCGCCCGCCCGCCTGTTGTTGTTGTTTGCTGCTGCAGCGTTTGAAATATGTCATTAAATGCGGAAGACATCTTAAGTTTTTGTATGCATCAATTAGTAGTAATTAAGCCGCATATTGTCTGCAATTTGTATGCGCAAACGATGCGATGTTGGCAATCGAGACTGCTCGAGGTGGAACCCATCCAGCCATCCTGATGACTCTGCTCTAATGGGTGCCGGGATGGGGGGAGGGGGGGAGGTGCGTTCTGCCTTGATTTCTTGTTGCTGCCGTCGGAGCTTGTGCTGATTGCATTTTTAATGCATCCAAAAGTTTCAATTAAGGCCTGTCGTTGGGGGGAATCTAATCAATTCAGTGTGCTCAAACAGGAGACTCTTTCTGCTCCGGATTTTGGGCTGGCCATAGCATAATCCGCCCTGAGCTAATCCCATCAACTCGGCTGACATGTCTTGGCCCCGAAACCTAATCCAATGCCAGAGATGCGGAGATGCGGAGCGTGACAACGTCAACGCCGCTGCTAATTTTCCTAACACTTTCGGTTGACATCTCTCAACTTTGGCCATGCGTGCATTTCTCGCAAGTTTTGTTTAGCTGCTCACCTAATCCCCGTTCCCCTCGGAATTCTGCATCAATTATGAATCCCGTCCGTCGCGAGAAGTCGTGTAAATGCACGGCGAAACTTTTCACACACACACACACCGGAAGGCAGGGGAAAATGGCTGGGGAAGTTTCAAGTTGATTTTCTTTTGGAAAATTACATAAAGTGCAGTCAACTTGTTAGGGCTTTAGCCATTGCCAGCCAAGTTGGCTTTCGACGAAAATTTCGTTAATTAATGTTGGCCAAAAAGTTGATTTTCACTACGCGCCTTTGTGCGCATATCACTCATACGCTGTGTTGCACATGAGTGTGGCCCTTAAAATATCAAATCATCATCATCAACAGTTCACTGCGGACCCCAATTATACAAGTACAACTGCGGAGGGCACTCGAATTTCAGGCCTCCGGCTCATTGGGATCATCACACGCTGAAGGATGCTTAGAAGAGTTTCGGGGAATATTTGTGTGGGAAATTAATGCTAAGCTAATTTGGGAGCTTTTAAGTTGGGATGCAAGCCGGTTTGAAAGTGCGAAATTCGTTAGTCTATTTAATTCTATTTGAGAAGTGGCAAAGTAAACAAACATAATTTAATTTTAAAAGTATTTAAAAAGTTTTTATTTCTATATTTACAATTTAAGATAATAACTGCTTTAGATTTTGAAATAAAATAATCAAGGTGGCATATTTCATATTTCTAGGTTTTTGAAACTTCTTTAAGTGTAGAAGTTCTTTGGATATTTTTGACAGACAACCTTTGTTTTTAAGCGCATTCTTTTCCATATCTCTTGAAGAGGTTACAGAACGCTATTTAATTTGGAAAATTGTTCAAAGTCGCCTTGCATCCAAGCCCAGAGTTATTTGAAAAGAAGAAAGAATCGATCTTTACTCACTCGGTGAATCCATGAGCAGGTCGTTGTCATTGTCGTTTCCATTTGGCGACAGGTGCGGCGGTTCGCTGCGTGACGAGGGGCTCAGCTTGAGCGGCTGCATGTGAGAGACACTCGACGTGGAGGGACCCGGACCCGGCGAATCATCGCGTGGCGAGGCGGACGAAGCCCTCGTGGCGGTGGCCGTAGGTGCCCCCAGGGATTTCGTGATGGTCAGCTCACCGTTCGCGGCATTCAATCTGCAGGGGTAGACAAAAGTCAGAGAAGTTCATAAAAAATCGGGGACGATTGAAACCCACCTGTTGATGCTGCTAAGTACGTTGGCCGTTGCACTCGAGCCCGCCACCGTGGGCGCTCCACAGCCGCCGCTGGTCGAGGTGGCCGCTCCGGAGCTGGGCCCGTTGCCCAGGTAGTCCCGCTCCAGACGGGGCGAGCCGCCCAGCGAGAGGGCGTGGCCCTGGGGCGAGTGCGTGCGGAACAGCGGGGAAGTGTAGCCTCTGTCGCTGATGCTGTTGACCGCCGACGAGCTCGAGGGGGGCGGAGCTGGGCGGCGATAGCCGTCCGGAGGGTAGGTGGCCCCCTCCTCCTCCTCCTCCTACTCCTCCCGAGCTGGACGATACGCTGGCCCTGGTGGCCGTCGCCGTGGGCGTGTGCGACCGCCTTTCGAGCCGTTCTTGTCGCTCCAGTCGCTCCAGCCGCTCGTGCCGTTCGTGCCGCTCGTGATGCTGGCTGAGATTCATGCCGGTGGCAGACGGGCCGCCATTGCCGCCCATCCTGCCCTGCGGACTGTGCTTCGGCGACACCGTCGAGGCTCCACGCAAACTGTGCCCGAAATGGTGACGCGGTGGCGGCGCCGGCGGCGAATTGCCGCCGGCACTCAACTCCAGCGGCTTGAGCTCCATTTGCGGATTGGTCAGCTCGTCCGGATGCCGCAGACTGATCTGCGGCAGCGAGGAGGAGATCGCCGACCCCGACTGCGACTGCTGCAGGTGGTGGTGCAGATGGGTCTGCGTCTCGGGCTTGATGTGCAACTGCTGCTGCAGCAGGAAGGCGGCTGCGGGAGGCGGCGGGGGCGGTCCCTTGCCGGGCAGGCCGGGACTACCGCCCGTGGGCGAGCCCGCCGTCGGAGATCGCTCCGCGGAGCGACGCAGATCGGCGGCCAAGTGGGAGTGCGGCAGGTGACCAATGCCCAAGTGCTGCTCCCTTTCTCGTTCTCGTTCTCTCTCCCTTTCCCTCTCCCTTTCACGCTGATGTTGCTGCACCTGCTGCTGTTGCTGCTGCTGTTGTTGCTGCTGCTGCTGCTGCTGATGTGTTGCAGCTGCCGCAGCAAAGAGCTCTGGGTGCAGAGCCGTCAGCAGCTGCTGCACGCCCGTCGAAAAGAGATTGGGCTTCAGTAAATTCGTGGGTGTCTGGGCCAATTGTGGCAACGCGGTGGCATGTTGCAGGGCGGCCAATGAAGGTGGCAACAAGTCACGCTGCTGCTCGCGATGTTGCTGCTGCTGCTGTTGTTGCTGCTGTTGCTGCTGGTAGCTGGCAAAGGCCCCGAATGCGTTGGGCAGAAACTGCTCCGTGGTGGGAATCTGCGGACTCACCGGAATGGTAAGAATGGTCTGAACAGCAATGCCTAAAACAAATAAACAACAAGATAAGTTGGATCTGGTAAGGTTTGAACGTTGTTTTTCAATCTTCCAGGTTACCTCGAAATAATGTATATCCAAATTATTGAGTTTCTAACAAAACACCTTAGTTAATGTAGCTTGCTCGGAACTCTTATTGCTTCTTATCGTTATTAAAGTCATTGGTTTTTGAGCAAGACTGATTTAAATATTAATTTATTGGCTATATAAGAAAGGTATTTAATAAAATAAAATCATAATGCACTTTAGGCAGAAACAATTTTTTTTCTAATAAATAATGAACTTATAACAGCCACTGTAATTTTAAAATCTCTTTTGATTTTTATTTAATTATACATTTCCGAATCTGAATTTATGACTTAAGGAAATACTTTACATATGTTCATTGTATAACATTTTGAATCTCTGTATGTGCCCAGTAATCATGTTTGTTGATTAAATAAAATTAACCCATTTTTTTTTTTGTATTAAAAAATTGATCACTTATAATAGTCACAAAAGCATTTAAAATTTGTTATTTCTGTAAGTTCCAAACAATCATATTTTTAGTGATTATTTTTCGTCTACCCGATTCCCAATCTAAACTTATGTCGTAATATTACTTTACGTTTTTTCATTGTATAAAATAAAAAAATACTAGTTTGAATTTAATAGTTATTATTTAAAGATTTATATAAGGCTGAGTATAACTTTTATGAGGGATTGAAAAGTGTCTATGAGTCTTTCACTTTTGTTCTTGCTTCTAAGGACCAAACATAGCATTATTTCCTTTTTCCAGGATTACGTTAAATCCTTTTTTCCCCTCCTCACTAAAGGGAGGAAATTGAAAGTTTCCCTAATCGCTTTATGAGCTTTATAATGCCCCGCGACCCCGCCAACCACGAGATGCGCCGAAAGTCAAACCAAGTCAACTATGTTATTGATACCCAGACGAGAACCCAGACGACAACCCGTAAAACTAAACCCACTCACCTTGGGCCGTGGGTATGAGTAGCTGGGCACCCTGGACGCCCTGCACCAGCTGCCCGGAGGCGAGAATCAGCTGGGGCATCTGGGCGCTGGCCGGGGGCGCCGCCAAAGTGGGCGGCGGCGAGGCGGTGGCCGCCGCAAGGACATTCGCCAGCGAGGAGGCGCTGAGGGGGTGGTGCGGCGAGCTGCTGCTGCTGGGATTATCCGGCTGCTGCTGTTGCTGTTGCTGCTGTTGGGCGGAGCTGGCCCCCGGATTCGAGGACGATCCACCGGAGTGGCTGTTGTTATTGTTGCCGGAACTGCCGCCCTTGGCGGTCTTGCTCTTGCCGCCATTGTGGGTGGTGGGGGAGGCGGCCGCCGCCGTCGAAGCCGCCGCTCCTGATGCCGTGGTTCCTGCGGGCTCACCGCCCACGCTCAGATTCAACGGCGAATTGAACACGGAGGCGGCTAATCCTTGAAGACTTGCCAGTGCAGCGGCCGTGGCGGGATGGTGATGATGATGCTGATGCCCATGATGCGGATGCGGATGTTGCTGCTGTTGTTGCTGCTGCTGCTGCTGCTGCTGTTGTAGCGTGGCCAAATTTTGTAATTTTTGCAAATTTATCATGTCTTGCACTGTGGGATTTTGAACAAGAGTCACACAAAATGTTGTCATTAGTTTTTGTTGCAAACTCTTTGCCGAATTAGTGGCGGGAATGGGGCAAGGGTTGGGGATTTGTATTGCCTGCCAGCCAGCACTAATTGCCAGTTTACTTTGGCCCCCGCCTGAGTTTTACGGGGATAAATGACTGTGTCGGTGCGGAATTCAAGGATGGAAACTCGCTGTGCAAAGAAGTCTTAGATAAATTATACAAAATTAGTCTGAGGGAATTAGAGTGTTAAATGAAAATGCAGCCCAATAAGGTTGGCTGCAAATTGTCGACGAAACAGGGCATCAGTTTAAAAAACAACGAATATGTTGTTTCTAATTTGCTAGTTTGCAACTGGAGAAGTTACTTATAACTAAATTTTGATTGATAAATATTCTGCCTTTACAAATACTCTTATGTTAGTATTTAATTGGTAATAATTATAAATCAACAATTTATTATAGCAAGGCACATTAATGTTGAATTAGGATCATAAAACTGAAATAATTATTGAATTTTTGAAGCATTATTCACATATGTATTTTAATAAATTTTTATAATTGATTAATTAATATTTTTAATTGAATTAGTGCCGCAAAAACCGGTAAGCTTTTGCCATAAATTAAAAAGGTATCAATTAAATGCAACGATATATTTTGAGTCCGAAAGTTGATATAGTTCACTCTGAATTCAGTTTCCATCCTTGCCAGAGGACCGTGTGTTTGTGCTGCTGTTTGGCTTTCGATATGTACTCACTAGTTCCGTTCAGATGGGCGGCAAAGGCCTTGGCTTGGGCCTGTTCTTCGCGCCGCAGTCGCAGCACCTCCGCAGCCTGCTCCTCCGCCTCCGCGTCCGCCTCGCCCTCCCCCTCGTTGTCGTCCTCCTCGCCGTCGATCTGCATGGGCAGCGGGAGGGGGAGTGGCAGCGGCAGGGGCGGCGAGGAGTGCTGGTTGGCCAGGGAGGCGGCCTTGGCAGCCAGATTCTTGTAGAACTCCAGCTCTTTGACGTGATCCTTACTGTCGAATGGGGAGTGCGAGTGCGAGTGAGAGTGCAAGGGGGGCGGGGGCGAGAGGAGGGGGTGGCCGTCCGTAATCTCCATTTCATCGTCGTTGTTGTTGCTGCGACTACTGTGGTGGGGATTATGATGATGGTGGTGGTGGTGGAGGTGGTGATGCAGGGAGTGGGCGTGGCTGCTGCTGCTGGGCGAATGGATCTTGTGGCAGCTGATCTCCTTGTCAAAGTCCTGAAAAAAACCAGAGAAATTTAATTAATGGCTTGGCTTGGATATTGAGTTTGGTTTTTATTTTAATATTCCAACCAGCTGAGCAACTGTACAAATAAATGTGGAAACTTTTGTGCAAGTGTGGTATTTAATTTAACCGTTGACTATCATTTAAGATCACTTTACTGCAAGCGAATCACGGCGTCCCTCTGGCTAAATTCAATTATATTTTTGCAATTAATGCAATTGCCAATTGTTCAGCAGAAATCCATACCCCAGAGCTAATGACGAGTCCTGAATCCCCGTTCATTGTTTGCTGATTGGATTATATATTTAAGCGATGGCATTTTCGGACTCGTATTACATTTCATTTGTGTCAGTCGAGGCGACACATACATGGGGCGTGTTAATAAGTTAATTTAATTTTTGTTGTAATTGTCAGCGCACATTTATTGTTTGGCATTTTGATCTGCCCGCCCGGATGAGCTGGCCAATTTATGCAAATTTAATTGGTTGCAATTGTTGCGATTCGAGGGCGCCCAAAGTGGTTTCGGAAAAGTATCAATACTTGCTTGATTAGCCGTTTAAATTATCTGGTGGCATTTTTTGCCACTTTAAATTACAATTTTCAAACGAGTTTTAATTTAAGGTAGGGCAATTTGCTCAGCTCGAGCAAGGATTCCACGTAAAATGGGTGGATAGGTAAACCAATATAATTATTGGCAATTAATGCTGGCGACGCTAAATGCGCTTGGGGCGGAGGGATTTGGGGGGCGGAACATTAATGCCAGGACAAACGGAGCAGGACCCTTCTTTGCGACGTGGCCGAGCTTCAATTAAATTTTATTTGCATAGGAAATTAACATAATTGTAGTGCAAAATACAGACCCAGAAAAAAGAGAAGAAAAAATGGTAAAATCGGAAAAAGGAGCGACCAAAAGAAAAGCCATAAAAATAAGCAGTAAACGTGACGGCAACGAAGGTAAAGTGTTAAAAAAAAATATTTATGCAAATAAATATAAATGTTTGGTGGGTGTTGCAAGTGCGGCAATTAAATGGAATTGCTGTTGCCCAGCCAATAGAGATTCTATCAACAAAATGAGGAGGGAATCCCTTAAAATCTAACGTGAGCTCCACCGTAAATCTATTAATCATCTAACAAACACTTACGAACACCAAAAGAGTAGACATTAATTAAAGCACTTGATAAATTTCACTGCAACGTGCTGCAAATTCATTAAAAATTGACGTTTATTGGTGCCGTCACCAGCACAACAGCAACTACTTAAATAGTGGCGGAAAAAAATAGAAGGAGGTCCTGCCAGGACGAACCAAGTTAATGTCATTGAACAGCAAATCGAACTAAATTTATGACACGACGAGAACGAGAGTGTATGAAAAAGGAAAAGAAACTCTGGGCTCTGGCAACATTAATGTCCTGCGAGTGTCCCCGTGTATTTTTTTACGTTTTGCTCTGTGTGTGTGTGTGTGTGTGAGTGCATGTCCTTTATGCAAACAGGCGGCAAACAGACGGCCGCTGACAGCCACTATGGCCCACACTCACATACACACACACAAGTAGTTGGGCGTCCACTGATGTGCAATGAATTAACTTTTCAACATATTTACTCACGCTCAATTGAAAGGACTTCGGTGTGACTGTGTGTGTGGGTGTGTGGGTGTGGGTGTGTGTAAGTATCCCTACGGCAGCTACATTGACGCTAAAAGTTGAAGAACAAAAAGTGGCCACCATAATGAGCCGCTGACGCTGTCGCCCGCCTTTTGTTCACATCAGTTCTATTTTTGTAGCCTCGCAAATGAGCGGAAATTAAAAACTGATTTAGCATTGGGAAGCCAAAAGGATGGGGTTCTCTCACCCGATGGATTCTAAAAAAAAGTGTTTGGAATGGCGGAACAGAGTGGTCATAGGCAAAGTTTCTGCATTCAATAGTTGATTAACTGAATTGGTTCGATTCAACCCAGTACAAAACAAGTCAAAGCCACTCAAATTTCTTTACTTTATTTGCTAGGTACGTTCATGTCTTTCTACAATATCTAAACACAAAAACATTTCGAGTATTTAGTAGTGATGACAAATACTTAACAATGTATCTTACATCTTACTTAACGAAGTATTTTAAAATGTGTTTGTATATTACAATAATGATAATGTGATACTTTAAATCAAAGTTTGTGGTTTTCGGAGCAAGATTTTTGATTCTTCTTTTTTTAGGTGGAGGGGTAGAGAATTATATTAGCCTAGCCACCGCAGTTGCTTTATATTTTTTACTAAAATAGCTTTTATAAATTATAAATGATATTGTATTTAAAATAGTAAACGTCGCCTGCTGATTGCGTTAAAGAGGCTTATGTAAATACCTGAAGAATTAAAACGAACATACATTTTTACAAGCAATTTTATTTTTGAAGAACTTTTTAATCTGTAGATATACGTAATTTTAAGCTTCGGAGATGCAGAGAAGGAAGGTAGCCATTTAATTTGCCTACCAAATAGGTAAAAAACATACACCCTGTTCCTCCGGACAGTCTGCACAATCGTATCTACTCAGATTCGGACAGTGAAGCCCACTTAAAGCCACCCAACCAACAATCGGCTGGGCATCAACGTTTTCCCTTCGGCTGCTAATTTTTGCTGTTTTTGTTGCGCCACCGTCAAATGAAAATAAGTCAAAAAAATAGAAAATGAATTGAATTATTGCAAAGAGCAAGAGATGCTCGCCGTTGTTGGTGGGAGGGGGGTGTGTGGGAGAGGGGGGTTGTGGGTTGGGGAAAATTGTGTTGGGCAGCGGGGCACTTGACAGCCTCGAATGTGATAAGCAAAAGCCCGGCGCGAAATGGAAAACGCGATGGCAGCCTTTGCTTTTCTTCTTATTATGCTCCTGCACCTCTCTCCCTCTTCGAGAGCCCCTTCGCCATCGTGCCTTCTCTTTCTCCAGGCTTCGCCCCGTCTCTTTCGCTGTCTGTGTTTTTTATGTAGCATGCTTTTGAGCGCGCCGCGAAATTATAATTCACACATGTGACCAACCAAGGGGAGTGGGTGTTTGAACGATGATGGGATGATGGGTGCTCGGCCATTTGCCTGTGGGTGGTTGGGTGGTGGACAGTAAAAAAATGCAATTGCCAAAAAGTAGCCGGCAAAAAGAAAGCGAAAACGAGGAGCAAGTCGACGTCGCCGAACGGTTGCGTTGCTTGTTTGCTTTAATTGCAAATGGCATTTTTTCCCGGGGAACGAGGATGTGTATGGGTATGGGTATGGGTATGGCTATGGTTATGGCTATGGCAATGAGGATGTGGATGTGGAAGTGGTGGACATACACGTTACAAGCTGACCAGCTTCACCAGCTCCAGCTCCACCCAGCTTCACCCCGGACACAGGGAGACTGGCTCATAAATTGTCGAAAAATATTTGACTTGTTCTATTTTTGGTCACCCCAGGCCCATCCAGCAAACAGCGCCTGCTGTGGCCAGCAATATGCTCCAGCAGCACCCCTTTTTCCCACTTTTACCGCCCCGCCCCCCAGAAAACATTTATGATTCGGTGAGGGGTGAGCTGGGCCCTTGCACTTTTGCATATTTAATGCTTTGTTTAATGCAAATGCACATAATTTCATCACTGACAGTGCGAGTGTGTGTGTAGTTTTCTTTCATACTTTCCTTTTGCCGAGATGCGAAAATATTTTTCAATTAATATTTATGTTGCTTTATGTGCCTGAATTGATAATTTCCCCATTGGTGACTCGAAAACGAAGGCAAAGGGGTTTGATAAAACTGCTTGGCAGTTGCGGTTTTTGTTTGTAACCGATATAAAAGCTTTGAAAAATGGCACATTCGTTCATAATACCCCTGATATTTTGTAGACAAGTTGTTATTGCGACATAAGATTTTTAATCATCAGAAATGAATAAAAATTAAAATGCTTTAATGAAACAACTAGCTTTTTAAGGTAACGATGAAGATATTTTTTTATAAAATATGAAAATCGGCCTATTTGTTACTGCAAAATTAAAATCTTAATAATATTGTAGAGCTTCTTAAGGACTAAGGTTACACAGAACCCCTAAAATTATGTGCCTATAATCAAAATAGTAATACATTTTAGATCAGTTCGTCTTTACATGTTTACTTATGTTTCATAAAAATGAATTACAAGTATTAAAGACAAACAAACTTCCATCACAATCTGAATTTCATAAATCTCGATTTGGAGCTGGAATATAGATTCCGAAAAAAGCTGGAGATCAGACAAACGTTTAACTTTTCGTGTCTATTAAAACACCGCCAAAAATCAACCCGCCATTCGCTCCATCAACTCTCTAAACAAAAATCGAAGAGGCCGTCAATTTTTCATGTGACGAGGCGATTTCTTGCGCAATTTGGCCGGAAAACACTCGGTGTCGATAAGGGCATAAGCTGCACCTGCACCCACCACCACCCACATGCGACAAACAAAAGCTGCACGCTGCAGACATTGCAATTTCGCCGAGAATTCGACTGCTTTCTATATATATATATATATATATATATATATGGGTATACCGGCATATACCGGCACGTGTTCATGTATCGGCGATATCGGTTCGGCCATATATATATATATATGTGATATATGTTTAAATGGGCCTTCCATATATGGACAGAGCGCAGCTGACATTCGCATGGCGAATGAGCGAAGGAAAACAAAAACGAAACAAAACAACAGCGAAGCACAAAAACCAAAACAAAAATGTGTAAAAAATGATGAACGATGGGTGGCGGAAAAACCGGCAGGCGAAATGGAAAATGGAGCAAAACAAGAAGATGGAAAAAAGTGAGGGGTGGATTCGTATTCGGCCGGTCCATCAGGAGCAGCGGAATCAGCAGAAGCAACATCAATGGGCGCGCCACTCAATCAACCCCACTTGGGTGGAAATGGGTGGCTCGTGGGCGGGTGGTGGCTCTGCTTGACAACAATGAAGGCCAAGCATTGTCCAGGACTCCGGGGACCACTCACCCAAACCTCC